ATCCTGGGTACACGGTAAGAACCTTTAAAGGTTTCGTAGATTTTTTTATCCTTTTTTTGCGACTTTGGACATCTTTGGACGCTTTTAGACATCTCCGGAACCTTTTTTGGGGGTTCAGTAAAAAACCGATTTTTTTTAGAGTGTAGAAACCCGAACGGATAACTCTAATGAAATCATACATGATCTTTTCAAGGCAAGTCAACGTGTAGTTGATCAGATTGGGACGTGGGAAGAAGAGAGAAGACCAGCCCCAGAATTTGGCAAGTGCAGATTGAGTTTCTTCGTATCAGGTAGATTGTATTTTGGGGAGGGATCTTTTGAAGTATTTCAAGCTGATTCAATGATGGAACTGATGATCAAAGCTGCATTTAAACTTTTACAATTTCTCATTGCAGCAGCGTCAACTCAACCTATGTAAAATCAAAGTTCTTGACTCTATAAAAAATCCAACTCCAATTTCAAGACTTTTCTCTAACGGAACTATGGTTTTCACTCTCACTCTGAAAAAAAAACATTTCGCCTTCCAGTCCGATCCTGACTCTGTGAAACTTCAACAAGTTTCTGTGGTAATCTAGCAACATGTGAACCATTTTAGTTACCTTTTTCTGCTATATACATGGGGTACTACAAAATTTTTCTCACTCGGCTCTTCTAAAAGCTCCTGTTTGAGTCCAAGTTTTTTGTTACAATGCTTAGTCATATTTAGGATTGTGTGCAAAGTTTCAGACTTCTAAGTCTTCTACTTCCCTGTGGTTCGCCATTGCTTTTACAGTAGGGGCACGCAATCTGATATCGGATGCTCCATCATAGATAGAAGAACTTTGCATTTCATTGTTTTGATTCCTAAATGTGTCTTATTAAAAGAATAAAATATACCAGAAAATGCAGCACGAAAAGGTCTATAATTTACATAAGATAATTAATTTTACAGTTGCATTTTCTATGTTAAAAAAATCGATAAATTTCTGAGCAATCAAATTTGGACGCTGCGAAAACAATATTGTTTTGGTAAAAGACAAATTCGTTTTTTCTGATTTCATCTTTGATTTGCCTAATGTCCTCTATTAAACAAAAAACAAGGGGTGTGGGTGTGGGTATGGATCTTCTCTTCAACAGAATCCACACCCACACCATACATCCACATCCACCCCTTGAACATACATAATGAATTGTATATTTATGCACGATATTTCGTGATAATCTGTAAGATAAACTATCCGACATGTGATATAATAATTTATTTTTAAGATGAGAATATACAACAAAACATTAGCCAACCTGTGGCTCTATACTCGTACACTCAGCCTGTCCAGGAACATTTGTTGTCCATCCAGATTTGCATTGTCGACAAGTTGTTTGAGCGAACAATCCATTGTAGAATCCTACAGGACAGGGTTTAGGAGTTGTTGCAGGATCAGCACATGAATTACCAATAGGACATTTTGTGCAGTAAGTAACCCTTGGATAGATTGTATAATAACCTTTTGGACATATTTTGCATTTGGTCTGTTCATAGAGGTCTCCATAAAAGCCTGCAGGACATGGTTGAGGGAGTTTAGTTGGATCAGGACAAAAATGACCTAATTGACATCGGATACAATTCTGAGTACCAGGTTGCGTACTGTATGTTCCTGGACGACAAGTTTTACAACTTTGTTGAGCAGGTTTATTTGTATATGTGCCCGGTGGGCATGGTCGCGAAATATTGTTATTGACGGGTGCATACTCACCAGGTTGAGCTCGTGAACAATTTGTAGAGCTCGGTTTAATATTGTAATGACCTGGAGGACATTGGCGACATTTTGACTGCTCGTACGTATTTGTATAGTTGCCTGGTGCACAGGGTATTTGCTGAATACCATCGGGACAGTAGAAACCTATCAAACATCGACGACATTTGTTGGCCAATAGAAACTGGCCTGGTGTACATGGAGTGGAAGTAGCTTCCACAACGTAGAAAGTAATGAGAATAATAGTGAATATCATTGTGTTGTGTTTCTCTTCCAACAACATGTCATTTTATATAACGTAATTGCGTACTTCCGACTTGAAGATAAAAGTTCGTTTTCATTTTTATTTGTCAAACAGAATGATTCTTACATCGACGCAATAAACTCTTAATATCTTATCAACTATCTTTATTGCAAACGATATTGGTTTAGTAATTCTAAATATTGACTATGGATAAAAGAATGACGAACTTAAATATTTCTAACACTATAAAAAGACTTCGTTAACAAACGTTTATTATTCATCATTCTGTTTTCGTATAAAATTTATCAAATTTGATTGACGCATACTTTTTCATTCAAACCAAAATGCCTGCTTATTTGGTGTCAATAGTGTTTCTGTTTTGTACGTTACATATTGTATCATTGAATGTTATACGAGGTTTCAACGACGATCTTTGCGATCCATATACAGTCACATCCGAACACTATCCATCGTTATTAATGCGTCTTAATGTTCAAAAGACAAGTCCTTTAAAATTGAAGGCAATATATCGTCTTCCAAACAGCACTAAAGAATTCTCTTTTGAAGGTATGGTTTATAACGGTGGTTTTTCAGGGGCAGCTGAAGTAGCGGCTTGCAGATCGCTAGGCTGCAGCAAATCAGCAGGTGCGATATCAATGGCATGGACCGCAGAAACTACTTGCGAGTTCACCTGTCCTGATGGCACAAGCGCCATGCAAAAATGCCGTTTTATGATCAGACAATTCCAATGTCCAGTTGATGCAATGAGTCTTCTAGAATGTCTCACAAACGAACGATTTTGGGAATATGCACAAAACACACCAGGTTCGAATAATAGAGGCCTTGATCTCAAGTGCACTGAATGTGGAGACTAAAATTGTTATTTATTATTAAAAAACAAACAATGTTATTTACTTGCAGTGAATATATTTGTGTAAAATTTTTTGAAGATTCTTTTTCTTTAATAAAACTTAACTATTTCTCCAAAAAGTATAAATAAGATTAATGTAAAGAACAAGATGATTGTGCATGAAGTAAATTTTAAACATAAGAGTATTATGTAAGTTTAAGACGAGATCCATTATGCAAATTAGAATGAAATTTGCTCGTTTGAACGAACCACTTCTATGACGATATTTGTGGGTGTGGGTGTGGGATGTGGGTGTGAGATGTGGGTATAGATAAAAGTACCAAACACCCACACCCACACTCTATATTGTTTTACCCTTTTATGAAAAGGGTTTATTATTCTACGGTCGAGGGTTTATGGTTCTACCTTTCCGTAGAAAGAGTTTATTGTTCTGTACTGTAAAAGAAAGAATGGAATATTAAATGCTTGCCCTATCTGTAACTTTTCATAAATCCTTGAAGGATTTAGGAAGCGAAGGATTTATGAAAGCAAGAGTATATGAAAAGAAAAAGGGGTTATTATTCTACAAATAATAGTAGATTATTCTACATTGTGTAAAAGGGATGTGTGGATGTGGATGCCGATCATCTTTTTTTATCACGTCCACAGGGACACCCGACATGCACACCCTTTGTGTCATCCATCTTATTAACTGAATCAGCCTTTCGTTTTTTAAACATATATCACATTCCACAGCGAATTCATATTTTCCTTCTGTAGAATAAACATAGTCTTTGTTTACTGTCTAATTCGAAACAGTCAACTTATAGACGTCGTTCATTCCGAATGTGGATTTTTCATTTTTTTCTGCTTCAATAAGATATAGAAACATGATTGTTTTTAAATATTGACATACAGAATATTTTTTTGTACAACACAAAAGATAACAATAAAAACGCAATATTTCTATCTATTCTGATAGAGAAAGCTTTGTCTCTAATCTTATGTTCGGAACAGTGATCCATTATTTTCAATTTAAATAATAGGAAATCTTTTTTTCTAATAATAGATTCAATAGGATAGTTCTTTATCTTAAATTGAATTGATAAAGTTTCTTCTTAATATTAGAGTCAATAAGCTACTTCTTTATCGTAAATTAAATTAATAGAAATTTTTTTTTCTCATATCGGGTTCGATAAATAATCGTTTATCTTCAATTAAACTAATAGAAATTTTTTTCTACTATTAGGTTCTATAAAGTAATCGTTTATCTTAAGTTAAATTGATAGCGAAATTTTTTTTCTAATATAAGATTCAATAAGGTAACTTTTTATCTTAAGTGAAATTAATAGGAATTTTTTTCTAATACTAAGTTGGATAAATTTTTTTTGTTTTCAGTAAATTCATCGAAAAATTAATTTTCATCCGTATAGATAGGATAATGGTAGAATCCTTCTGTCTTCCACATATTCAAATAGAAATATCGATTTTCACACGCACGTCAGTGAATAATTTAAGGACATGTTACTCAACCAACATTGACACAAATCCTCAGTTTCATATCGATCACTTGGACATTTTTTACCGTCCTTTACATTGATTAGTTCTAATAATAGGTTTTTGCTAAGTTGAGATATATTTATCTATCTTGCATACTTAGTATAATGAAGTTTGAAGAATTTACTCATAGACATTTCATTCAATACTTCGATGGACGGAAATAGGGCTCATAAAATAGTTTGGGGGTAAGCTTCGAATGCATTTAGATACTTAAAAAGATTTAGAAAAGCATTCAGGAGATATTTATGTAACAGAAAAGAGTTTAGAAAAGAACTTGAGAGATGTTCAGATACCCAGAAAGGAGTTAGAGAATAGTTTGGGAGATATTTAGATACTTAGAAAAGATTAGGGAGAGAGTTTAGGAGATATTTAGATACTCAGAAAGGAGTTAGGAATGGATTTAGGAAACACTTTTGATAACAATTATAATCATTGCCTAAACCATTTCTGGGTATCTCAAAATCTTCTAAATCCTTCCCTAAATCTTCCTGAATATCTCAGTATCCCCTAAACCCTTTCCTAACTTCTTTTTGAGTCTTTCAATATCTCCTGAATCCTTCCCCAACTCCTTTCTGGATATAGCAACATCTCTCATACCGTTCCTAAACCCTTTTAAAGGGTTTATCAAAGGGTTTATGATTTTCCTAAACCCTTAAAAAGATTGTTGAAAGTGCGACGTATAATAAACCATTAAAGGGTTTATGAATTTCCTAAACCCTTTATTAAACCCTTAAAAAGGGTTTAGGAAAATTTCACATACGGTAAAAAGGGTTTATTATACGTTGCACTTTCATCGACCCTTTTTGGGTTTATTATTCTACGGATTCTTTTTACAGTGTGGGGGTATGGGTGTGGGGTGTGAGTATGAGGGTATGGGTGTGAGTGTGGGTGTGGGGTGTGAATGTGGGTGTAGGTGTGGCTTAAAAGAAAAACCACATCCACCCACACCCACCCACACCCACACCCACATCTACCCACCCACACCCGCATCCACCCACCCATACCCACACCCACGCCCTCAGTTTAAATCGTTTTGTTTCTCAGTCTATAGACTACCATATCACCTTAACCTGCAAAGCTATTCGTTTTTGAATGTGGGGCTTTGTTACATTTTTTATATCAATTAACATAATGTCCCTTGGGAGGGACATTCGGCTTTCAAACTTTTTACCCCTGACAGTAATCCAGTAGAGCTCATGTTGAGTAGACCATGGGAATAGCTTATGCAAGTACTCAATATGTCAATGGTATGCTTAAATTTGAGCAATATTGTTTCACTGTGGAGATACAGAATGGGTCAAAAATGACCCATTCGTGTTGAATGACATAAAAAATTTTGTTTGTTATTTATTTGGTTTTGATACGATTCTTCGCAATTGTGTGTTTATTTTATCCATGTAAAGCTAACATCTCTTCATCTTATGAATTGTTTCCTACAAAAAGAATCATTTTTCAAATAACATATGAAAAATTCTATTTTATTATAATCAAAATTTACCATAAAAAACAGTAAAACAAAACCACTATCGATGTGTCAAGTGTGTGTACGTTTATTTTTTTACAATGATACTCTTTAAAACAATTACGTATTATATTAAGACACAAATGAACACTACATTTAGAACAATATACATTGATCTTCATTGTATAACCTTTATTTTTACATCGAAGATGCAAATTTCGCTGAATTGGTGTCAAATATTCTAAACCATCAAAAAAAGCCATACTTGACATATTCAAGGACTATATTTTTCTTTTTGGTTGACTGATGAGAGAACCATTCCAACTGATTCCAAGCTTTCAGCTTCATCTTTTGACTCTAAGCTGATCTCAGTGAGACTAAAAAGGCTCTAGAAGTGTTCGTGCTGATGGCTCTTCATTCTAAAGATATGACCTAAGTAATGTCGTAAAAAAAAAGAATTTTTTTCTTTGTTTGAAATTATCGCTCGTTTATGACTCTAATAGCTTGGAACTTGAAGTATGTCAGAAAAATGGTTCAATCACAGTCTTTGAACTATCCAACTTTTAAATCATCAAATATATTGGATGATGAAATACCAAAGCTTCAATAAAGAGGAACCTAATTTCTAAAAGTTTCTTTAATGTATTAGAAACACAAAATAAAAATATGCTTTTTTTTACGACATTACTTAGACCATACAGGGTATTTCGTAAGTTTTGAGGCACGATAAAATTAGTCTATCCGTAGATAGTGAATAATCTCTAGCCGAATGTATTTTATATGAGCTTTCAGTACTCATGACGGTCTTTCAAATAACATACAATTCAATGATATCTTCTCTTGTAATAATAAAAATACAAACCTGAGAACATAATGATAAATTTTTCGAAATCGATCAATAATAAAGGGTGTCACATAATAAGTTATGATAAATTGTTTATGATATTTTTCATACTTTTTTTTTATGTAGAAGACTGAAATTTTTATCAGACATATATCTAATCAAGATCTTTTATTTCTGAACGTTTCAGCTCTCTAGCTATAACCACTGATGAAATACATCGACAAGATGGAAATACATAGATTTCGGTACTGGATTTTTGAGCTATTTTCACAAAATAATGGAAAAATTGAGTACTGAAATTTGATAAAAATTTCAGTCTTCTACATCAAAGAAAAGTATGAAAAATATCATCAACAATTTATCATCACTTATTATGTGACACCTTTTATTGTTGGTCGATTTCGAAAAATTTATCATTATGTTCTCAGGTTTGTATTTTTATTATTACAAGAGAAGATTTCATTGAATTGTATGTTATTTGAAAGACCGTCACGAATACTGAAAGCTCATATAAAATACATTCGGTTAGAAATTATTCTCTATCTGCAGATCAACTAATTTTACCGCGCCTTAAAACCTATGAAACACCCTGTATCTCGGGAATGAAGGTCCATAAGCATGAACACTTATAGGGTTTTCTTAATCTCACTGACAATGGAACTGTTTGCCGTGTCAGATGAAATGCTTAACTATATTCGGATCAAATTATCATCTTCAATGAGAAACTACCAAATTAAAAATATGAGCTGCTAATGACTAGTCTGGATCGAGTTATTTAAATTTTAAGGTATTGACAATTTAGGCATATAGGAGCTAGTCTTACAGAAGCTATGACCAACTCCCACAGAAACTGTTCAATCGAGCTAATCAGGTTAATTTTGAAGCAAGTCGTTTGCAAAAAATATTGTTTTGCTCTGGAGGTATTTAAATTTTTCTGAGAGCACTACAGCCAAAAAAGCACATTTTTTGTGATATCTTTGCAACATTCGTATCTTACAAAAAATACATCAATTTTTGGCTTGAAATTTTAACTGTGTATACATCTCAAGTTGATGTACTTATCATAAAACAATGAGTTCCAATAAATGAAATGTTGATGAGTTGATCATAGTAGCAGCTACACGAAAAAATAGTCATTTTACGGTATTTTTCAATAAGACTCTCCATACTGTTTTACAAAATCGCTGGTTAGTTCTTGAATAGGTTTGTAGTGCTCAATGTGTCCTTTAAAACTATATGAGTCCGACTTCTATCAAGCGCATATTTTGGAAGACCGAATGCTGCGAAAATCGTAATTTTGTGAAAGGTCTTCTGAGGGATAGAAACTATCTAGTGAGCTAAACTTTTTATCACCGTAGGTATTTTATGAGATCTCTCTGTTCTCAAAATTTCAGCTTTCCAGCATAATCCGTTCACCAGACATACATATCGAAACTTATCAAAAAATGACTATTTTTTCGTGTAGCTGCTACTATGGTCAACTCATCAACATTTCATTTATTGGAACTCATTGTTTTATGATAAGTACATCAACTTGAGATGTATACACAGTTAAAATTTCAAGCCAAATATTGATGTATTTTTTGTAAGATACGAATGTTGCAAAGATATCACAAAAAATATGCTTTTTTGGCTGTAGTGCTCTCAGAAAAATTTAAATACCTCCAGAGCAAAACAACAGTTTTTGTGCGAGTTGGTCATAGCTTCTGTAAGACTAGCTCCTATATGCCTAAATTGTCAATACCTTAAAATTTGAATAACTCGATCCAGACTAGCCATTAGCAACTCATGTTTTTAATTTGGTAGTTTCTCATTGAAGGGGATAATTTGATCCGAATATAGTTAAGCATTTCATCTGACATGGCAAACAATTTCATTGTGAGGAAAGAAAAACCAAACAAAAAACCAGATTTTAATTATTGGTTACAGGGAAAAAGACACAAAAAAGCGAAAAAAAAGTATGACTGAAGGTAAAGCTGACGTCTCGGTAGCAAAAAAAGCCTTGAGGTAACATTCATATACAGAAGAATCTAAGCTATGACATGCAACAGAAAAAATTGGATTACATGAAGCTGCAAAAAAGAGGAATAAAAAAATTGAAACTACCTGTGAAAGTAGGTGTGGCTATGGGTAACGGTATGAGGTGCTGGTGAGATCGGGAATTTAGAGAAGATGATCATTGACACGCTACATCCACACTCACACCCTTTTGTATCTAACATATGTTGATAGTTCGAATACAATCATTCTTTTTTTTGTTGCGATAGTGGAGATTTTCACAGATGCAGAAAAACTTTTTGCTGCATGATCGCTTGAAAATATACCGGTACAAAAATATTTTTCACTAGAAGGTGTATTTAATCATCATAACGAATGTATTTATGCTGCAATTCGTCAGGAAGCAGATTAGCAAGGAGGTATAAATCAAAAGATTAAGTATCCGAAACGAATTACGGTTTGACTAGGTGCTTATAAAAATGGCCAAATGTCCTCAATTAGTTATCTTTAAACCTAGCGAAATATTATCACACGAGAATTATATTAATGCTGTTCTTTCACATGTACAGTCCGGAGGGGAGCAGTTGTTTGATGACGATTTTATCTTCTAACAAAGCCACACCACGCCACATACACATCACAAATCGTTGAAATTATGCGAAGAATATTTCAGGCATTTTGTAGATAATCATAGATGGCCAACAAATAGTCCGAATCTCAATATCATGGGTAATTATATGTGGGATGTTATTACCAACAATATACCATGAAGTAAAGTTAAAAACTGTGATTCATTAATTGATAAAATAAAAAAAGGAATTCATCGTGTACTAAAAAATTCTCTTGATCGCAACGTCGAAAATTGGCTACACAGGATCTCACTTACTTTGAAAACAAAAAGTATACAATTAAAATCAGCTTTACTTTCTGGATTGTAGAGATTTTCATGCTGCCTCTTGTAGTATGTTTTATTTTTTAACATAACATGTTTAGAAATAAAATAATAAAATGCAAAGTGCAATCATTTATTATGGGTCACCCGTTATATAGTACAAGAAGTAAATATCCTTCCGAACTCCCCCACAGACTGTAAAAAACATTTTCGACATGCTGTTCCTTTGATATTCTTGTAGATTGTTATCAGCATAGCGAGAGTCTTCATGTGCAATGTAAGCGGCGCCATCGTGTTTCACATTTTAATTCTGTACTGGTTAGACTGAAAGCTTTTCTTGCCTACAAAGTATATTTCGTCGTTCTCTTCTTGCCAAAAGACAATTGCCTCACCTGTACACTTTTTATTACTGATAACGAAAGTAAGCGAATGGTCTTGATATATGCACTTAGACAAAAATGAAATGGTGTAAGACCACGCAGTTAAGAAAAATCTTAAACGAGGCTTATTTTACAATCTGTATTTATCGATTTACAATGTCTATTTTTCATTTTAGAAACAGGCGAAAGTTAAATTAAGGCTTCAGCAACTTTCAACGATGCAAGCAGTTTTATCAAGTGAAGGTAAATAGTGTTCGTGATTGATTGCATGCTCATCGAATCGTTCTCTTCAAATGCATATGTGAAGAAAATATTACCGTTTCATTTGCTGAATGTAGCTGAAACTTCTTTCTTCTGATTCTCGTATAACTTGACATCTATCTTCATAGCAAGTCAACTTTATATCTACACTCCTTCTTCGAGTTCTGAATTTCGTGGATCGGAAAACGTGACGAAAGTAGTACTATATGTGGACGAGCAGATCAAGTACTTCTCGTCTAAAAACATTTACTTCTACTTTTCTTTTGTGCGAAAAACTCTTTTTGACCTATAGTGGTTCGTAAGACATTTTGAGTAAAACCTGTCTCCTGATATTGTTCTAATTCGACAAGCCCTTGATGTTGATGTTCACACCTGTCGATGAAGATGACATAGAATTCAACTTATCATAAACCATATGGCTCAGTTCCTGAACTATCATGTAACTGCACTTTTCGTTTATAGAAATCATGGAAAGATGAAAGACGATTTTCATCAGCTACAATAGTAGTCATCAAAGGCTGTTAACTACTTTTTCAAACATATTTTAGTCGGTGTTAATAGTGTTAAGACTGCATTTCTTCTATAGATAATCAATCATGCTCGACGAAATGATTGACATTCTATATGAATTTTTGTCATAAGAATTTTACATGCTTCAGTTCTTGTTTTCGAATAAAAATTTTATGTTACAAGGAAATAGAGAGAGAATACGATGTGTGTCAAGCGAAAAATCGGCGTTTTTTTAATTTCAACCCAAAGCAACTCTGAGAAATCCTAAATTCAAAACTTGAAAACTTTCAAGAAATTTATAAAACCATAAATCTGCTGATCATTCTAGGATAATTCGATACCGAGAGTTCGATTCGAATGTCTATTTCGAGCGACATCCCATGGATAGATTGATAGGCCAATAAAAATTCAGTTTTCAGAAAACTTGTTATCTAAGGGTAAACGCACATGACGAGTTCAAATCTGCTGTCAGTTTAGCTCAAAACACTATTGGTAGATCGATGAACCAGTTGAAGTTGAGCTATTTCTTTTGGTCAATCACCCTACTAACGGGACTTTGAGTGAAACAATTAGTAGATTCGAACTTCTTGTGCCACGTTGCCCAGTCTAGAAAAGTATACTCGAAGAAAATATGATAAAAATAGAAATTCTTCAAGTCTGTTGATACCTTGAAAACTCAGAAAAATTTTAAAAATCCCAAAAGTCCACTATTTCCCCCTTGGCGTGCGGACAACTTTCATTTTCAGATTCCAAGACATGATGTGCCTAGTGCTAACCTAGTATTTATTCTGTTGTAAGGTATGAAAAGAGAAATGGCGCAGGAAGTTGAAGATTCTGATGTACGTCTTCTTCGGGAAATGGGCTATAAGCAAGAGCTCTATCGTGGATTTTCGCCATTCATGTCATTTGCCTTCTGCTTCACTGATGTCAATGTACTTCTATCGATTTCAATCGGATTCACCTATTCATTGAATACTGGTGGATCAGGTGTGACTGTTTGGTCATGGATTCTTGGATCTATATTTACCATCTTCATCGGACTCTCCTTAGCTGAAATATGTTCTGTGTATCCGAGTGCTGGATCCGTATATCATTGGTATGTTGATTGGAATTGCTACCAGTCAACTGATGGTAGAAATTTGTTTCTTCTTTTTCAGGGCAGGTCAATTAGTTTCTGATAAGCATACGCCATTAGCATCATTCATTTGTGGTTGGTTTAATTTCATTGGAAACGTTGCAGGTAGGAAAACAAACGAATTGTCAATGTGTGAATCAATGAGTATGCAACCACTTTTGGGGAAAAAATTTCTTTTCGACTGTTTCATGCTAAGTAATTAGGTAGAAAATGGTCAAAAAAAGATCTTTGAGTAAAAAATATGTGGACTTTGATGTGCAATTGTGAGAGATCTAATAGACCATTTTTTAGACACATCTCAGTTAGCGTCATAATCAGAATTGAAGACTAAGGACTTTTGAAGTGGCTTTCCAACACTGTAAATCGCTAGGAATCGCGTTTTTTGGATCTACACTTTTGTTAATAAGGTCGAGACTATATATATTTCATGGTAAAAATGCATACGATTCTACTTAATGACTCGGGCCTTAAGAACTATGAAAGCAAATTATGGAGACACGAGCGATACCTCACAGTAGGTAACCCAAATTGGTTTCGGATAACCTCAATAGCACACTTTCCTTTTGAAATCTTCATTATCATGACCTTTGCATCTTAATAATTTGTTAGTTTTTCGGTATATGTGAGAATATGCTCTTGAAACGTTTGTAAGAAAAAAGATCTGTTTAACAGTAAATTTTTCCAAAGAACGTCTCTGGATTATACAGATCTGAATCATACTTAAAGCCCTGATTGTACTAGCAGCAGTGTTTAAACTTCAAGAAAAAGGAAATTACAGAGACTTCTGAAATTTTGAAAGTGATATTTCCGAAAGCTGCGTTCCTTCGAAAAGTTCGGTAATTTCCATAACTTCCACTTTCCGAAATTTCTTTAATCTCCCCAAATTTTCAAAAATACGTTTCTATAAGTTTACGTGTTCTTGAAAATTACAGAAATTTCCGTAATTTCCTGTTTTGGACATCTGAATATACCTCGCTTTTTCTGCTGAATGTTCATAAGAATAAGGGGATGTTTCTAAAGAACGATATAAATCTCTCATAGTTACAGATTCAAGCCCGTATCTTTTTCTTTCCAAAGATCTTTTCAAGTCAGTTTCCATCTAAGTAGCATGAAAACAGTCGAAAAGAAAGCTTTCTCCCAAAAGTATTTGTCTACACCTATATTTACTCAAATAAATTTCTCATTGTGAACATGTTAAAGGCAATGCTGCATTCTCATCCGGTTTTGCTACGCTTATTAATGCTGCCATTGTTCTCCAAGGGAACGATTCGCTGAGTACAAATGCCCGAGTGGGTATTGGCATAGGAATCACTTTTCTTTGGGCTGTTCAAAATGCATTGCGCATTGATCAACAAGGTTGGCTCAACAATTTTGCTGCTTTTTTGCAATTTGGTTCAACAATTGCCATTGTTGTCGTTCTTTTTACCAAGGCTTCTGAACGAGCTACAGCTCATGATGTTTTCATATCTACATACAACAGTACTGGATTTCCATTTCCATATGTATGCTTCATTGGTATTCTTTCGACATTATACGCATTCACTGGCTATGAAGGTAATCATTGCAATTTTGAATCTGTATTTATTTTGTCATTGAATAATTCAAGCTGGTGCTCATATGGCCGAAGAGACTAAAGGTGCTGGTTGGGCAGGTAAGTTTATCTTCGAAAGATAACGATCATTTGAGACAATTGTCAACAAATTGAGCGATTCATCTTGTTTTCTAGCTCCAATAGGAATTGTGGGAACTTGTGTTTGCAGTGCTATTACCGGTACTGTTTATTTACTTGCTCTACTCTTTGCTATTCCAAATGTGGCTTCATTTATCGAGAATAACAGCGGTACCAACGGAACGGAAGATTTGACTGTTGCTACCTATCAGCTTGCTGTTCCTCTTCGAGGTGTACTTGCACTGACAATTCTGCTCATTATCAATATGCACTTTGCTGGCATGGCGGCAATCACAGCGACTAGCCGAATCGGGTATGAATTAACCATTCAGATGTGTGGTTCTTCTCAGCCGAATATACATCATTTGTTCTAGATTTGCCATGGCTCGTGATGGCGTATTTCCCTTCTCGGTCTATCTTAGATGGATATTCAAACCCACAAAAACTCCAATAGCCATTGTGCTTTTTGTTTTCATCCTTGATTCTCTTCTTCTTCTACTTCAATTAGCAGCGACAACTGCTTTCAGTAATATTATCTCTATCACTACACTCGGCTTTCAAATATCGTATTTCATGCCTATTTTGTTTCGATGTACAGCAGCGAGACGCACTTTCGTACCGGGCGAATTTAACTTAGGTCGATTCGGTCTACCCATTGCTATCA